GGCAGAGTTACATGGAGAGAAAGTCTTGCATCCCCTGGTTCACTCCCCAAATGGCCACCACAGCTTGGGCTAGGCTAGGTTGAAGCCATGAACTAGGACGTTCACCCGAGTCTCCAGGTGGCTGCAGGGGTCCCAGGATTTAAGGCATCTTTCCCTGCTTTTTCTAGGCACCTTGGCAGTGAGTTGGATCCGGAGTGAAACAGCCAGGTGTCCAGTCAGCACCAGTATGGGATGCTGGTGTTAAAGTAGCAACTTCACCTGTTATACCACAGCACCAGTCCCTTCCGTTAATTTGAGTAAAAGTGATTTTAGACTTAGTCTGAAATTTCACTTAACAGTAGGCTTGGAATAAACACCGTCCAGCAACTACTTTCCCTTCCCAGTTTGAAAAGATGTATTTATTGGAACAGCAGATTTGCAGAGAGAAGGAGAGACAGAGAGATCTGTCCACTGTTTCACTCCCCAAGCGGCCGTAATGGCGGGAGCTGTACAAATCCAAAGCTGGGAGCCAGGAGTTTCTCCCAGGCCTCCCATATGGTTGCAGAGTCTCAAGGCTTTGGGCCACCCTCTACTTCTTTCCCATGTCACAAGCAGGGAGCTGGATGGGAAGTGAGGGAGAAGAGAAAAGAGAAGAGAAGAGAGAAGAGAGAGAAGAGAAGAGAAGAGAGAGAGAGAAGAGAAGAGAGAAAGAGGAGAGAGAAAGAGGAGGAGAGGATCTTCCCTAAGTGCTGGCTCATTCTTCAGATGCCTGCCACAGCCAGGGTGGGGCCCGTCATCAGTGAGAGGCTGGGTTAGAAATGGAGTAGGACCTGATTCCAGGCACTCCAGTTATGGGCTCTGAGCACCGGAAGTGGCAGCCTAATGCAGGAGAGCCTGAGCCCGGGGTCCCAGATACCGGCAAGGGCTGTGATTGGGCGGAGCTGAAGCTATGGACCAGGAACTCAATCCAGATCTCCTGTGTGTTGTGGCAAGAACCCAAATACTTCAGCTATCCGCCTTGCCTTAGTCCAGGAAGCTAGAATGCAGAATGCCCCCCTTCTCGTCCTATTGTTTTGTGTGTGTTAGAGTTCTCAGTTTTAGGATGAAACTCAGCCCATCTTGGTATGCAGAGAAGGAATTTGTTCAAGGCATTCTACAGATTACAGACGTCCCTTAAGGGGACAGTGTTTGGCTGATGGCTGCCTCCTGCCTCGCTTGGGGGTTGCCCTGGTAAGCATGGTGCAGCTGCCTGAGTCTACAGCAGCGTTGCATCTCCTAAGGCTGCGGAAGTTCTGTCTTCACGCTTGCCAGACGATGGACTGCATTTCTCCATGTCTGTTTTCTCATATTGCTTACTTATGACTCAGAGTCACACACGGGTGTGTCTGTCTGAAGGAGCTTGGGTAAGCCCAGATACAGTGACTGGGTTAGTAAGTTTTCTAAGTTCTCACCAGTGGACTTATTGGAGCACTTTATAGAAAAGACGTTGGTCATGAAACTTTTGTGATCAGAGATTGTAGAAATAGACTGCCTTTTTTTGTTTAGTGTTCAAATAAACTTTTAAATCTTTAGAGTAAGTGTGAGGTAGGGATCTGATGTGTCTCTCCCCCCGTGGTATTACATCTGCTGTGAACTAAGTGTGTCATCGTGTGTTTGCATGTGTGTGGTGAGCTCTCACCCCAGAGCAGTGTGTGTGCAGCTTGGGCAGATCCAGGGATAGTACAGAGAAGGCTAGAGCACTTGGCCTCAGTTTCCCTAAAATCATCCTTATTTTGTTACCATCACAATTATTTCATAAGTGAAGAGACATGGCTTTCAAAAAATTAGCTAGGATCACAGTTCTGGTGGATGGCAGAGTCAGGCCAAGGGCAGAGTAAGTATCCAGGTCTTGCAGCTGGTCCATAGAACCGTTCTCCTTTACTCTTTGTCCTGTGTCTGCTCTTTGCATTTCATTGAGTCACGGAGCTTGACCCGGACTAGGAAGTACCCTGTCCATAGTGCACTTGGTAATGTCAGTCCTTCTAATCTGTGCAATAACTCTTCACTCTAGGCTCCCTCTGGTTCTTCAACACCAACAAGCACCAGGACCAGGACCTCCTCATTTACAGAGCAGCTTGATGAAGGCACACCCAATAGAGAGGTAAGCTCGAAATTTCTGCTTAAAAATCCCCCTCAGAAGAAGTGGAATTGTTCTGGAATGTAGTGTAACGCTGCTGCTGATCAAATGGGCAGTGATTTTGATAGGCCAATTATGTAATTCCTACATACTGTTTCTATTAATTATGTGATTAGTTCTAAGTTCTTTGAAGGAGTAATATATCCTGCATTTAGCATTTAAAACTTTCAGAATAATTTAATAACAATTTGTTTAATGTATCATCTTATGGGGGAAAGTCCTGCATTTTCAGACTGGTGAGTGAAAAACTGAGGAGTCCCATCACTGCTTCCGTGTAGCTAGGAGCTGGCACCGAAATTCTTTTTTTTTTTTAAACCTCATTTCTTCCCTGTGATGTATAACCCAGGTATACCAGAAAGGGTACCATGTAAGTGCATAGGTTGATGACTTGTCATGAAGTGGATTCCTGTGTTCCAACCATCCAGGTCAGGAAAAGGGGCACCACTGGAAATTCAGTGCTCCCTTCCCTCTCCCAGCGGGAGCACCACCATCCTGGAATGGGGTAGTATTTGCCTCTTGCCTTCCTCGATGGACACGTTGGCTTGTCCCCAGTGCTTGGCTGCTCTGCGTTTCTTCTGGTTCCTGTTGGTTGTGTGCTGGCTCAGAGGAAGGAGCTGCTCTGCCCGCTTGGAAGGAGCTGCAGCCATGGTTCCCCAGGGTGGTTCTAGAGATTTTCCTCCCCGCAAGGACTTGATGCAAGTTGCTCCTGCGCCCCGGCATTTATAGTTTTTTTTTTTTTAAATCTCAATGTTCTGGTAATGTGCTGTGGCCTTTGTGCTTTAACTTGTATTTCTCTGAAGATTAGTAAGATTGGGCATTGTTCACTTGTTCATTGATCACCGATTCATCCTTTTACAAAAGGCTATGCTAAGTGCCTTGCCCTTTTCTTCTTTTGGGTTAACTTTTTCTCATTAATTTGTATGAGTTCTTTTTATATAACATGGCTATAAGTTTTTCCGGGATCTGTATCTTGCAAATGTATTCTTTCATTCTGGTTTGTCTTTCATTATCTTAATGGTATTCCTTGATGAGCCAAAAATTCTTAGTTTTAAGATTTTTTTTCCAGTATATCAATATTTTATTTTATGGCCAGTGTTCTTTGCTGTTGTTGTGGTGGGGGTTGGGGAGTAACCCGCAGTAGGTTTTTGCCTGGCACGAAGAGGCCTGTGTCCTGTGTCTGAATGCCCGGCTGCAGTGCCTGGCTTGCTTCTGACGGTAGCTTCTGCTCATGTCCATCCTGGGAGCAGAGGTGGTGGGTCCAGTGATTGGATTCCACCCGTGCTCATGAGAAATCTGGCTTGAGTTCACAGCTCTCAGCCTCAGCCCCAGCTGAGGCCACTGCAGGCACTTGTGGAGTGAAGTGGTACATAGGGGCTCTGTGTCTCTGCCTTTCCAATACATGGATGAAGGCCTTTAAAAGAATCATTTTCTGACACTGAGAAGGTTGTCCTGTATTGTTTTGCTTTTTGCACTTAGATGGATGTATGTATACCCCACCCGGAAATGATCCCTCGGGATGGTGTGAGGGGTCAGGGTTCACGTCCTGTTGTTTGTCTGTGCGATGTCAGATCTTTCTGCACACTGCTTTTTTTGTGCTTGTACAGAAATCAGCAGTTCATCTGTGAGTAGCTTTGTTTCTGAGCTCTGCATCTGCTCCTTTGTTGCTGCGTTGTTCACTTTGATTTGGTATTGTAAGTCTTTTCTTTTTGATACTTATTTATTTTTATTTGAAAGGCAGATTTGTAGAGAGGAGAGAGACAGACCAGTCTTTATTCCACTGGTTCACTCCCCACATGGCCACAATAGTTGAAGCTGAGCTGATCTGAAGCCAGGATGTTCTCTGGATCTCACCTGTGGGTTCAGGATCCCAAGACCTTGGACCATCCTCCACTGCTTTCCCAGGCCACGAGCAGGGAGCAGCTGGGACCTGAACTGGTGTCCATAAGGAATGCTGGCATTGCAGGTGGAGGATTAGCCTGATAAGCCACCATTGCTGGCCCCCAGCACGATGAGTCTTAATATCATTTTCATCTTCCATTAATTCTTGTAGGTCATGTAGATCTTGTAGTCATGGCTTTCTACTCTGCTCTTGTTGAATGTCTTGGTTGTTCTTTCTCCTTTTTCATGTAATTCCATGTAAGTTTTTAATCATATTGCTATTCCCTTCTGTCCTTTCTTTGCCGAATGTTTTTTATGATGAGGCAACTTTGAATTTTGTCTGTTATGTCCTCTGTGTCTGTTGATATGTGTATGGTGTTTGAATTCTTATTCTGTTAAATATGGTGTGTCACATTAAAGGATTTTCAGATGTTAATCTTTCATTACAGTAGTAAATCCTACTTAATCATGATATATAATCTCTTTCTGTTCTTTTTTTTTAAGTTTATTAATTTAAAAAACAGTTACAGAGAGATAGAGGGAGAGATAGCGATAAAGAGAGATTCCACCTGCTGGTTCACTCCCCAAGTGGCTGCCAAGACTGGGCATGGGCCAGGCCAAAGCCAGGCCAGGGGCTTTCTGCAGGCTCAAACCATCACCACCATCAAAGCTATGGACTGTCCATCACCTCCCCGAGTTCCCCCACTCTGTTGGCATCATTGTTACCATTATATTATCTTGGTAAGAACACGTAGAAGATCTTGCTTCCTTGAAAGTGTGAGATGTCTGTTATGCCCCGTTAGCCATAGAAACGACACCGTGTGGAATAGCTCGAGAATTTATTCATGTTGCGTGTTTAACTCAACTGCATTTCTGATCTCCCCCCACCACCCCCCCCACCCCGGCAGCTTGCTGTTGCTGCTGGGGGCAGGGAGGGGGTGGGCGAGTGAGGGCCCTTCCGGTGTTAGGCGTGCTGTGCGACGAGAACACTTTGCAACGTGCCATGATGATTTGTTTTTCGTCTTGTGTTTTGTTTTGGATTGCCCTGAATGAGACAGCTACTAGCCGGGATGATAGCAGAGCCTGCTTTTCTCTCTGAATACACTATCTTTGCTTTGGATTCCTCCAAAGAGCCTAAACCCCAGAGTGGCCGTGTGGTGAGTCCTCCCGCCGCTTTCTGCATCCCCTTTGGCGGGATGCAACACCTGCCGCCCGTCACTCACCTTCTCGTGAAGCACCTGCAGTGTGTGTTTGCTAATAACACTTTTCTAAGAAATCAGAGGGTGAATTGCTGGACTCTGATGGCTGTTGTGCTTCCTGGTAGCTTTTTAACAGTGATGAAATAACACCTACTAAATCGCTAGGGGCCACCTTCTCTTGGGCTAACCTGTTTTCTCCCGAGGGAGGATATTTTGAAGTCTGACTCACATTTTGAGGGGGAATTTGTTGTTACACACATTTGTAATTAAAGCACATTAAATAGATGGAGTTTACAATCGAAAATAACTGCATCGTGTTTTGTGTCTGTTGCATCAGTTTTGTGTCCATTGAATTTCTGAAAGGAAACAGCTACCATTGTTTCTCCGCTGACTGAATTCACATGATTTTGAATCTTGTGTATAATTTCATTAAAGTATCTGAGAAGTCCATGCTTTGGCAGGTTAAACTTTAGAGCAATTCACCCACTGAAAATGGCTTTTAGTGTTAGATTGGGTACTGACTGAAGCGGGATTTAGATCTTCTGAAAAATGAGAAAACGTTTCTGTACCAAACCCGCGTAGCCGGATAAAACTCGGTATGCAAATGGCCACAAGCAACCTTACATTACATTCTAAATCTAACTTTAGGAAGGAAACTTCTCAGGGTGAGACAGATTACATCCGGGTCTGCCAAGTGGGTGCAGGAGGCCCGGGACTCACGCCCTCCTCTGCCCAGTCTCAATTCTGTTTTTTTAAAAGATTATTTTAAAATTTTTTATTGGAAAGTCAGATTTACAGAAAGGAGGAGAGACAGAGAGGAAGATCTTCTGTCCACTGCTTCACCCCCCAAGTGGCCATAGTGGCTGGAGCTTAGCCGATCCTAAGCCAGGAGCCAGGAGCTTCTTCCAGATCTCTCAAGCTGGTGCAGGGTCTCAAGGCTTTGGGTTGTCCTAGACTGCTTTCCCAGGCCACAAGCAGGGAGCTGAATGGGAAGCAGGACCACTAGGATTAGAGCACCTATGGGATCCCAGCATGTGCAAGGTGAGGACTTTAGCCATGAAGCTATGAAGCTACTGTGCCGGGCCCTGTGTTTTTTTTTTTTTTTTTTTTTAGGCATCTCTTTACCCCAAATTCTAAAACCTGTGTTGTCATTCCTTAGTGCTTTGCAGTCAATAAAATAATTGAAAGATGGAAAAAAAATGTAATTGAGAACAAACCTGGCAAGAAATTTGTGTTTTTAAGTGAAATACACTGTCATGTGTACTATTTAAATGCTTCCAAAGGATTTCCCGCAATTGAAGAATTTCCTCCAGCAGAAAACATTGGTGACTTGAGTGTTGGTGTGTGTTGAGTTGGTTCTTCAGACTTCTGTCTGGAGGAAGGCCTTGAGAAAGAAGGGACTAGAGAGGATTTCTTGTGCACTCACAGGTGAAGCGTTAGGTCCTGGGGACTGGCATGCAGATGTAGGACTTTGTGCTCTGCAAGATCCTAGTTTAAAGTGGAGACCCGTGTGTGAGCGTGCCCTGGTGGTGCAGAGGCGTGAAAAAGCGACAGGCACAAGGATGTGATGGCTTCACTCCAGGCAAGCCACAGACAGCTCCCTGCAGGTGGAACAGTGCAACGGGCATTTGCCAGGCCGCAGGTTGAGACCACATTACAGGCCATGACAAAATCTCACTTTGCTTCTCGAAATGCCTGGTTTCGATTTAGAGGGCAAACTAAGCCAGGACTCTCCTTAGCTGTCCTGCCTTTTCTTAAATCAGGGTTGGGGGACATTCAGCACGAGGGCCTGGAAGGCTCAGGAAGTCGTCGAGTCTGGCTCTGCTAGTGCGACCACGGGCAAGCTTAATATACCTACAGTGAACTAATTTTTTTTTTAAAGATTTATTTTATTTTTATTGGAAAGGCGGATATACAGAGAGGAGAGACAGAGAGGAGAGGAAGATCTTCTGTGCAATGATTCACTCCCCAAGTGAGCGCAATGGCCGATGCTATGCCAATCCGAAGCCAGGAGCCTCTTCTGGGTCTCCCGCGTGGGTGCAGGGTCCCAAGGCTTTGGGCCGTCCTCGACTGCTTTCCCAGGCCACAGGCAGGGAGCTGGATGGGAAAGTGGGGCTGCCGAGATTAGAATGCGCCCATATGGGATTCCGGGCGTGCAAGGTGAGGACCTTAACCACTGTGCCACCATTGCGCCGGGCCCATGCACTAATTTTTAAGTTGATAATTTTGTATAACCTGCAGATAAGGTTGTAAGTATCCCAGTGGCGCTTGGCATATTAAAGGTCGCCCACCTGATTTGATTTGTATCGCATAGTAGTACAAGTTGAAATACATATGCAGAGAGGGGACATTTTCGAATGTTGGGCTATATGTTTCCGATGATGGTGGACTGGCTTGTGGAGATCACCATCATGTTTTGTGTCATTTACTTTAGACAGAGTGTAGACTCTCCCTCTTGCCATTCTTCCTGCTTATTCACATGTGTTAGGAAGTCCTTCATGTTCTTTGTCCATAATTTACGTGTTCGTATACTGACTGGCTGGGAGAATTGTTGAGCCCTGTAGAATATATTTTGGATTGTATAGCGTTTAGGATTATGTTGTGACACTGCACAGGTACGGGTGATATTCCTTGTGACCCACTGAAAATTCTTCAAATGGCAGAGAACAAAATGGGAAAAGTTTCTCCCTGTGTTCTCTCAAGCCTTCTTTCCCGTGTGACTTTAAGGAAAGTCTTAGACTGATACAATTCAACTCATGCTTCTCTTGAAAAGAAGGTGTTTTTTTTTATTATTAAGAAAAAATTGAAATACATTACAAAAGTGGAAACAGGAGTGACAGTAGAGCAAAACTTGCCCCTGTCCCCTTATCGTGATCTCCGGGCAGCAGTTGGCTCCCGGCCCTGCGCACCTGCCACGCGCTCTCCTTTCTGATTTTACCGCCAGAGCCCTCCCCACGCGGGCAGCCCACGCCCTTGGTGTTTGAAGCAGATTTTACAAATCCTGTCCCGTTCCCTAGTGCTTCGGTTAGTATTTAAATGATAGACTAGCATCATGTAGACATCTTATGTATATCATAGCGCAGTAGTTTGTGTCAAATACATCAGAGTTCAGGAACCGGAGATGCGCTTTGTAGAGCTCTGTGCCATCTGTGTGGCTATGGAAGAGTCAGGCCAGATCAGAGTGGGGAGACGCGTGCCAGGGAGGCTGCCAAGCTGCCGAGCAAGGCGGCCAGAGCTGTCTTTGTCGCCATGCCTGTAAAACACAGAGGTATTTTATCATGAGCTGTTTCTAAAGCTCTCACCATAGCTTGATGATTAGTTCTATACATCATGATTGTAGTGTAGAATTTTGAATCTTAAGGAATTTCATTCCTTACCACGAACCATGAACATTCTAACCAGTAGGATGGTGCTTATCTTGGGTATTTGCCTTATCAACTGAGGAAAGCAAATAGCTTTCACACATGGGAGAAGTTTTACGTTAGAAGCTTTTCTGATACTGTCCCAACAGTTTCATTTAGATTGCTGTCCTCAAATGAATGTGGCAGTTTCATTACTTATTATTATTTTAAAAAATATTTATTTATTTTTATTGCAAAGTCAGATATACAGAGAGGAGGAGAGGCAGACAGGAAGATCCTCCATCTGCTGATTGTAGTCTCCAAGTGACTACAATGGCTGGAGTTTTGCCCATCTGAAGCCAGGAGCTTCTTTCTGGTCTCCCATATGGGTGCAGGGTCCCAAGGCTTTGGGTCGTTCTTGACTGCTTTCCCAGGCCACAAACAGGCAGCTGGATGGGAATGGAGCTGTCGGGATTAGAACCGGCACCCATATGGGATCCCAGAATGTTCAAGGTGAGGACTTGAGCAGCTAGGCTACTGCACTGGGCCTGGTTTCATTACTTATTATCAAGATATTCCTTATTGGTTAACCAAATAAATTTGTTATTTTAGGGAATAATTGAGATTACTTCTTTTTCAAGATAGGTTTTTTACTTAAATTTTGCTAATGAGTGTCTGGTATTGGATTTTGTATGGGAGAGAAAAATTAGAGATGGGCTGTGTGATTAGCTTGAAATAATTTTTGTTACTAATCTCTGCTATTTAGTTATAAATATAGTAAATTGAGTTTTCTAAAATACTCACCATACTAGTCTTGCCTTGCATGAAAATATTAATAAATGAACAATTACTAATTTTGTTTAATAGATAAATGTGTCCAGTGAGTCTTGATACTTGGATTTTGCTTTTGTTGCAGGCTGGTGTTCTATTCCTCTTCCTTATTTCTTTTGTTTCCTTAGAATGCGTCTGCCTACGCCAGGAGCTCTTCTGACAGTGTTAATGGAAGTGAGCCAACCATTCATCAGGTCTGTTCCTAATTTTTTTTAAATGCAATTCAGGATATTGGTCAATCTGTATTTGTATAAGTATTTGAATCTCCATTGAAACTGTAGTGTTCAGACATGTGAAATAATATGTATTGCCAATGTAACTGTGCTTCTTGTTTCCTGGAAAAAGTTTAATCTGGATTTAATATCCACTTATTTCTCGTTTTAAAATTTAAGGGAAATAAAGTAAATGCATTAACAAAAATGAAATCTGACCTTATAGGTTTTTTAAAGAATATTTATTTAGTTTTATTGGAAATGCAGATTTACAGAGAAAAGGAGAGAGAGAAAACTCTTCCATCTGCTGGTTCACTCCCCACGTGGCTACAGTGGTTGGGGGGCAGAGCTAATCCAGAGCCAGGAGTCAGGAGCCAGGAGCTTGCTTCGTATGGGTCTCCCACGCAGGTGCAGGGTCCCAAGGCTTTGGGCCGTCCTCTACTGTTTTCTGTTGGCAACGCCCGCGTCGCCACGTATCCCGAGTCGTGCACCACGTATTCCGAGTCGAGCGGAGGGACTAGGGTTATGAGACAGACAACAGACAACACACAGACACAGTGGGTCATTCCTGTGAGGAGAATGCCGTTTATTTGAAGTCAAGCTGCATCTTTTATAGTCTGCTTGGCCCCTCCCAGGATCCTCCCAATGGTTAAGCCACACCTAAGCTCCCCCAAGGACATGCAACAAGGGGAAGCAGGAAGGAAGGAGATTGCTAAGCCACACCTAAGCTCCCCCAAGGACATGCAACAAGGGGAAGCAGGAAGGAGGGAACTTGCCAGAGAAGCCGGGGGCTGAGTGCATCAGGCCAAGATTGCCCATTCTGTTACACCTTGAGAAAGAAGTTAAGCTGTGGTGTTAACCCTTGGGAGACCGGGGCCTACAGTTTTCCCAGGGCACAAGCAGGGAGCTGGGTGGGAAGGAGCTGCTGGGACATGAACCAGCGCCCACATGCCATTCTGGCACATGCAAGGCAAGGATGTAGCCACTGAGCTATCACACAGGGCCCTGACTTTACAGTTTCAAGAAATCATAGTGACAGCCATGCTAGAAACATGTTGAGTCATATCATCTGGAAGGAAGATTTTAAAAGAAATACAATTTCTTTCTGAAAATTAATTTGTTGGCTAGAGCGAGAGAGCACCCCTATGTGCTGGTGTAGTTTCCGATGCACACAGTGGGTGGAACTGGGCTGAGCCTGAGTGCAGCCAGAACCTTAATCCAGGTCTCTATGTGTTTGAGTGTGGTCTGTCAGCACAGTGCCAGGGTCCCCCTTATATATAAATGAATATACAAATGAGAAGAAAAATAATCCCAATCCTACTCAGGAGTACCTGCATTAACTTTGGTGTTTATCCTTCATGTTTTGCTTCCGAAGGCTTTGTACAAGCATATACATACATTGAAAAATAATGTGCTTTGGGGCCCAGTGTGATAACCTAGCTGCTCAAGTCCTTGCCTTGCACATGCTGGGATCCCATATGGGTGCCGGTTCTAATTCCGGCAGCTCCATTTTCCATCCAGCTGCCTGTTTGTGGTCTGGAAAAGCAGTTGAGGGCAGCCCAAAGCCTTGGGACCCTGCACCCATGTGGGAGACCTGGAGGAGTCTCTGGGCGCATGGCTGCAGATCCGCACAGCTCCAGCTGTTGTGGCCGCTTGGGGAGTGAATCAACAGAGGGAAGATCTTCCTGTCTGTCTCTCCTCCTCTCTGTATATCTGACTTTGTAATAAAAAGAAATAAATCTTTAAAAAAAAGATAATACGTTTTAAGTCAAAATGAATTCACAGTATACACATTCTTTTATATCCAGATTGTTTGCCATTGTCTACTGTGTCTTGAGGTTCTTTCCGTGAGTGTCTAAGGTGTCTTGTAGTGATTGGACATTTGTATTCTATCTGGGATTTACTGTTGTATGGAACCGTAATGAATTTGTTGGTGTGTGAAGGCTGTAGACCATTTTGGCCAATCTTTACTCTCAACAGCTATTAACGGGTTAGGATGGTTAACCCATACTATCATTAATGTCGCTTAGAAATATCTTTAAACCTCTATAAGTGTGTGTTTGATTTTTAGAAGTCTACGCTGAAGAGCATCTTTTTGTTTCTTCACAATCTTTGCGTGCTTGTGACTCTGTCTCCCCTGAGCATCTCACTCCTGGGGTCTTTGAGACAGTCGACCCCATTGTGGGAGCCTGCCAAGGTGCACACCTGTGTTTTACATACTTGGTATGCACTGGCAGCAAACATGGTGCATCCAAATGGCCACTGCCTTCAAGGAGAGCATCGTTCAGGTGACACCCTCTCAACACTCCCATGAGATCAGGGCCAGAGCGACTTAGTCAAGGTCATGCTACTGGCTGCCAGAGCTGGGAGCCGCACCCCCGGCCTCTGATGCCTACTCCCGCACTGTTTCAGAAAGCAGTGTGTTACATACAATGCCGTGTATGTAGCGTGGATCTCCTAGTGTGGCTGGGGGTGGTGGAGATGACGTGTGTGCACTTGAACCCTCATGCTCCTTTTGGTTTTGGTTGCAGTCAGGTGACACGCAGTCTTTTGCACAGAAGCTCCAGCTCCGGGTGCCTTCCATGGAGTCTCTGTTTCGAAGTCCAATCAAGGAATCTCTGTTCCGGTCTTCTTCCAAAGAGTCTTTGGTGCGAACCTCGTCCAGGGAGTCCTTGAATCGGCTTGAGCTGGACAGCTCCCCTGCTGCCTTTGACCCGCCCTCTGACATGGAGAGTGAGGCCGAGGACGCCCTTGGCGGTTCGGACAGTCTCAACAAAGAACAGTTGATTCAGCGCTTACGAAGGATGGAACGAAGCTTGAGCAGCTACAGAGGAAAGTATTCGGAGGTACGGGCAGAGCCTTCTGTTCCCAGTAGACAGAGTGCTGAGCACATCAGAGTTGGATGCCACTCATCCAAAGCCTTCGCTCCTGTCCTGTTCTCGCCTTCCTGTGACATCACTTCTTTTAGCCGTGTGCTTATTCAGCTAAACTGGACTGCCCAGGTCCTGTGCTCAGTTGGTACCGGTAGGTAGTGTGTGGCAGTGTCTTGTTGAAGACCCGCAGGTGCAGGGGCCCTTCTGCAAGACGGCCAGCGAATGTTTGGAGAAGGTTCCTGTTCCTACATTTTGGTTACCACATTCTGTGTCCCTTTCTTTTCACACTTCTCTTCAAGGTCCTGTGACCACCCAGTGTCAAGTTCATTCTCTTTTCCTCCTCACACGCCCACCCTTGCTCATCTCTGAGGACCATGGCTTCAGAAGCCAGCCACCGCATACCCACCAGGATTTACCTTAGTTATGCTTTAGGTTGTCTGTGGAACTTTAGATTGGCTCATTCTCATTGTGCCTGCATTGATGTTTTTGCCTTGTATGAATCTCCTTTAATTAAAAAAACTATATAATTTGTGTAAGTGGATAAAGCTGCTGCCTGTGATGCAAAACATCCTGTATGTACGCGAGTTCAAATCCAGGCTGCTCCACCTCCAGACCAGCTCCCTGCTAGTGTCCTGGGAAAGACAGCCGGGCCACTGCGTCCAGGCTTTGGTCTGGCTCCGCCCTGGCTATGGCGGCCACTTGTTGGGTGAAGGTGGAAGCTTTCTCCGTCTCCATCTCCCCTTCTCTCTGTAGCTTGGCCTTTAAATAAATAGTCCTGAACATTTTTGATGTTCATTCGTTTTATTTGAAAGGCAGAGAGAAAGAATCAGAGACAGAAAAAGGCAGACAGAGACAGACAGACCTACATACACCTTGACATGTAAAGATCTTGCATCCCCTGGTTTGCTCCCTAGATGCCCACAGCAACAGGGGCTTAGGCAGGCTGAATTCAGGAGCCTGGATGGCACGTGAGTCTCCCATTTGGCTGTCAGGGGCCAAAGTGCTGCAGGCGTTACCTGCTGCCTTCTAGGGTAGTTTAGCAGGGAGCTGGCATTGGAAGCAGAGCGGGAAGTAACCCCAGGAACTGAGCTGTGGGATGTGGGTGTCCCGAGCAGCACCTTCACCGCCACTGAGTACCTGCCCGTCAGGTGAACCTCCAACCCGTGTGCGGGCGACACTCCATGTCGGTCTTAGGGAGGTAGCAGTGCCGCTTCCGTTTCTCTTTTTGGTCCTTCAGGAACGTGGCTCTTCCCTTTCCGGCTAACTTGTGTTAGCCGCTCTCCCCGATTCCTTTCCTGTCCTGTTCTGTTGAAACAGTTCTTCCTCAGGTAAGCCCTTCCAGAGGAAGTTGTCCCTGACTGTGTTGAATGATGCGTAACATTCTGATGATCTTAGGGGTTATAAATCAGCAGGGAGCTCATGTATCCCATGAGGCACTTGTAGAAGCTTGCTGCTTTGGCTGTTTTTCTTTTTTACTTTTTGCCATAGCTGATAAGAGTCTAGAATCCTTCTGTTTATGTTTCTTACCATCAGAAACTTGTCCATAGTTGTTAAGTTGGATGTTGGGGCAGCAGTATCATTAACATTTAATTGTGCTGTCATGTTGTATGTGTTGTATCTGCAGTATCATTTGATTTTGCACCCTGCCTATGAAGTAGATAGTAATTAGCTTGGTTTTGTAGAACGGGGACTGGAGACTCAGAAATTTAGTGACTTGTTTAGAGTCACACAGGTGATGGAGTGTGATTGTCCTCTAGGTGTTTCTGTACCACCTCAGACACACTCCAGAGGCTTATTAGGGAGAAGAGCCTACACTGCTTCTTTTCTCCTTGCCACTGCAAGTTCCTAAGGCACAAGAGTGTTATAGTGACGTCTGATTCTGGGGTTCCTCTTCTACCTCACCCCATGTCTTTTTGGAGTATTATTTTCTTATCCTGGTGTTGGGAAGAAACACAGGATCTCAGTGTTGGGCAGACTTTTTTTTCAGTGTCTGTTCCCAGACTCACCTTCTGTTGTTCCCTGCCTCTTGACTTAAGCCATCTAGTAATGGCCTGTGGGGCACACAGTGAGCCATCTAAACTCAGAATGGAAGTGTGCTTGCCCTCGGAGCGGCAGCCAGTCTCTTTAGACCAATTGGACTTTGATCAAGCAGGGCCAGCTCATTGACTGAAGCCGCTCAGGCATTTCGTTTCATCAAGTGATGCGAGGACGTGTTAACTCAGTTGAAATGTAATCTTTAGGCTTTGAAATCTCGCCTTCCCCCGGTTGCCCTCGGCGCCGGTATGGAGCGACCGGGTCCGAGCCTTCCCGCTGCCCTTCCTCCCTGCCACCTTCTGTCCTGTGTGGTCTTACTGGAAGTTCCTCTGAGGGGATCAGGGCCGAGGCGTAAAGCTCCCGGGGTACGGGCAGGGCTGTGTGCCCTGCTCCCACACACGTGGGCCTCATCCTAGCTTCCTGGGGTTCTTGTTCCGGGGATCCCTTCTTCTTCATCATCACAGAGTGCTCTCCGTGAGTGGGCTGGAAGGTTAGGCCCATTTACTAAAAGATCTTTCATGAGATAGAAGAGACTTGCCCCCACATCAGTGTTACCGGCTAAAGAGTGAGCTGTCACAGACACTTAAGAAATGAGTTAAACATGTTGGTAGGGCCGCTAGAAACCTATTCCCCGTGCTTTTCCTTTAGAATCTCCCTGTTTCTACTCTGCATCACCATGGAGCCTGCGCAGCTGAGTTCTGACTGTCACAGAAGGCAGGCAACAGCCTTGATGGACAACAAACTTGCGTAGTGCCCGAAGGTAAACTGTCCCCAGCCATTTGGGATGAGGCAATAGATAAGTTCATTTCTGTGACACCATATATACTGGGCTGCAAGCCTGTCACCACCGCCTTCCCTTAAAATCTCTAGTCAATTAATCTCCTTAACCCGGCCCTCTTCTGTCCTACTTCCCTCTTTTCTTTTTTTTTCCCTGAAGTCCTTCCTCACTTTCTTCCCTCACTCTTTTTATATTTAAAATGGTCTTTTACTTATTTAAAGGGCAGAGAAGTGGAGAACCTCTGGCCCATGCCTCAAAGGTTAGAGCCCTGCCAGACAGGAACTATAACTCAATCTGGGTCTCCTATGGCTGGCCCCTGCCATCATTTGTTGCTTTCCATTCCAGGGTGTTGTATCAGCAAGAAGCTGGACTGGGGAACGCAGCTGGAAGTCAAAGCCCGATCCTGTAATATAGGCTGTGGGTGTCCCAAGTGGCCTGCTGCTCTCCCCTCGCTCTTCCCCCCAGCTCTCATCTATGAAGCACTTATTAGCTATATTCAAGAGAACTCACTTTATTCAGAGTCGGGTAAGTTGTGATTCCTGAATTCACCTTTATAATCTAGAAGAGAAGCTGTATATATAATAAATCATTTTTTAAAAGATTTATTTATTTTTATTACAAAGTCAGATACACAGGGAGGAGGAGAGACAGAGAGGAAAATCTTCCATCCGATGATTCACTCCCCAAGTGAGCGCAACGGCCGGTGCTGTGCCGATCCTAAGCGGGAACCAGGAACCTCCTCCGGGTATCCCACACAGGTGCAGGGTCCCAAGGCTTTGGACCATCCTTGACTGCTTTCCCAGGCCACAAGCAGGGAGCTGGATGGGAAGTGGAGCTGCCTGGATTAGAACCGGCGCCCATATGGGATCCCGGTGCGTTCAAGGCGAGGACTTTAGCTGCTATGTCACGCTGCCGGGTCTTCACCCCCACCTTTAAAGCCATGCAAACCTTCACTTTTTTTTAAGATTTATTTTATTTATATTGGAAAGGCAGATATGCAGAGAGGAGGAGAGACAGAGAAGAAGATCTTCTGTCAGTTGATTCACTCTTCAAAAGTGGCCACAATGGCCAGAGCTGGTCTGTTTCGAAGCCAGGAGCCTGGAGCCTCTTCTAGGTCTCCCACATGGGTGCAGGGTCCCAAAGCTTTGGGCCGTCCTCGACTTCTTTCCCAGGCCACAAGCAGGGAGCTGGATGGGAAGTGGAGCTGCCTGGATTAGAACCGGCGCCCATATGGGATCCCAGTGCATTCAAGATGAGGACTTTAGCCACTAGGCCACAGCGCCGGGCCCATAATAAGTCATTTGAGTAGCATATCCTCATAGGATCCCGTCAATACACCATGATCTTTTGAAGGAATTAATGACAAGAAAATGCAGTAACTCAGGGCTGACACCAGCAGAATTTTCCACTACCTTTTCCAGACGAAATGCTCTCAGAACTTGAGTGCGGGTAAGAAATTAAGATCAGGCCAGCAGAGACACCACTGCCTGTGGGAATGTCCAGGTCACTGTTTTGTGTGATGCTGCTGTCTTCCTGCTGGACGCCCCTGCTCTGAAATCAACAGCTGCCCTCCTCACCGGCTCCTCTTGTCCACGCTCCCCTGCCACCCTTGTCCTGGGTCTTGCCATTAGCCTGTCGCTGTCACCCATCCACACCCAGGCAGATCACTGAGTGTATCTCCCGCGACCCGTCGATGTGCTTGGATCAACCCCCACCTTTTTTTTTTTTTAAAGATGTATTTATTTTTACTACAAGGTCAGATATACAGAGAGGAGGAGAGACAGAGGAAGATCTACCCAATGATTCACTCCCCAAGTGACCGCAACGTCAGGTGATGCGCCAGTCCGAAGTCTGGAACCAGGAACCTCTTCCGGGTCTCCGATGCGGGTATAGGGTCCCAAGGCTTTTGGGCTGTCCTCGACTGCATTCCCAGACCACAAGCAGGGAGCTGGATGGCCTGTCAAGATTAGAACCTGCGCCCATATGGGATCCCAGTGCGTTCAAGGCGAGGACTTTAGCAGCTAGGCCACAGCGCGGGCCCTCACCCCCACCTTTAAAGCAAAGCAAACGTTTATTTATATTGGAAAGGCAGATATGCAGAGAGGAGGAGAGACAGAGAAGAAGATCTTCTGTCAGTTGATTCACTCTTCAAAAGTGGCCACAATGGCCAGAGCTGGACTGATTTGAAGCCAGGAGCCTGGAGCCTCTTCTAGGTCTCCCACATGGGTACAGGGTCCTAAGGCTTTGGGCCGTCCTTGACTGCTTTCCCAGGCTACAAGCAGGGAGCTGGATGGGAAGTTGGGCCACAGGGATAGAACTGGCAGCCATATGGGATCTCAACTTGTGT